AGAAGTTGGGAGTCGAAGTCCACACATCTCAAAATGAACTAGAACTCAAATGATCTTGATGAGTCAGAGAAAGAGTCTGAATGCAACTGTTGGAAATGCAAAGTTCTTTTCTTAGGACCCAGATTGTTGGGGGCAATATGCTGACTCTCTGTAAACCGCTTAGAGAGGCCTGAAAGGCCTATGAAGCGGTATATAAGTCTACTGCTATTGCTATTGCTATTGCTATTAGTGGAGGCTCCAAGGGAGGACCAAAGAGAAGGAGGAAGAATAGGGAGAGGAGGCAAGCCTCCACTTGGCTCGGGCCTCCGCCTGCCACTGCTTTAGCCAAAGGAACTGACGGGTGGTGATAGAGGATGCTATGGCCTTGGACGTGAAATGGGCCGTGTCCAAGGACGCATTTGCGGTGTATTCCAGGGCCACCTTCAATTTGTTAATAGCCCTGCGAGCCCTAGAATCCTGGGCCAGAAGCCTCGCCTGGAGTTGCCTTAATCATAGGAGAGCTGAGAAACTAAAGAAGGAAGCAGAGGTAGTTGCCCTGACGGCCCAGGCCAAGGCCTGGTGCCCCTTGACTAGAGTTTGTTCCATTTTCTTGTCTTCAGGGCGAAGAGCTTCCTCAGGAGCAGCCGAGGCTGCGTTAGGAGAAGAGAGGCTAACAATAGGTAAGTTAATAGAAGGTACCTCTAAAACTTTGGTGAGGTCTGGTCCCACATTATACAGCCGCTTGACCAAGGTTGGGGTCCTGTACCTGGTGATGCCCACTGGTTGTGGACCACATCAATGAAGAGTCTGGGTGATGGAATCACCTCTTTTTCCACCTTAAGTTGGATGAAGAGGGGGTCAGTGGTGTCAATCTTATCTGCTTCCGTTCCCTGAGGTGTCTTGGGTGAAGGGATGCCCGTGATCTTCTTGGCTTTAAAGAGAAGAGATCGAAAGACATGTTTAAAGAGATCGACAAATGTAGGTGGGTGGGGGGGAAGGCCTTCGTCTTCTGAGAGATCTGAATCTCTTGAAGGGCGTTCCTCCTCTCCGAAAACCGACGGTTGACTGGATGTGCCAAGAAGTTCATGCGATGAAGAGGCCGAAAGCTCGCCATCCCTGTGTCTGGAACCAGAAGAAGAAGCAGACCTGCGAGGAGTAGAATGTTTAGAAGACCTGTGTTTAAGTCCTGTTGCTATGCCTCATTTGATGGCCTCAGATATCATATTCGCTATGCCAAGTGAGTACGAACGGCAACGGGAAGGAGAGATGACCTCCTGGTAGAGGGACTCCTCATCAGGCGTGATGCTCCTGCCACTCTCCGATTCATCCCCACTGCAAGCCAGATTGCCTGTGCCCCTGGCTTCTTCAGATTGGATAATGGAAGCAGCAGGGGAGATATCATCCTCCGAATCAGAAGACAGGTCAGGAGGACTAGGAGGAACAGGCCTCTGGGGCTGAAACAGATGGGATTCTGTGCACTTGGTTTTACTTCTGGCCTTTCTGAGAGGAACCTGAGTGGCATTGCCATTTTCCTGAGAAGGTAGATTGGCTGAATTCCTGTGACTAGACCTGGGAGTCTTGGATGGAGGCTCAGAGATGGGAGCCTCTGGGGCAGGCCTGCGCTTATGGGTCCTGGAGGAAGGGGGCTCAGTGGTGGGAGCAGGGGCCCTGGCAGTTGGAAGCACTTGTGGCTCATGGTCAGGAGAGGAAGCCATGGCTCTGTACTCACGACTTGGTGAAGGTATTCAAAATGGCCACCAGAGCTTCTTCGTGCCAAAACAAAATGGCCACTGAGGCTACAGAGCCTATCGGCCGGGCACCACGAGGTAGCCAAGGCCGCAGGAGAAGCAAGGACGTTGGTGGCCCTGCAGAGCAGCTGCAGAGAGAGGGGCAGTTGTGGCGATCCGGTGGTGGAAGGAGCGCTAAATAGCGGCAGAGGCGTGCAGCAGTGGTGCTGTCCCAGAGACGGCGGCGGCATTTGGTGGTATTTGATGGAGAGGGAGAGCCAGCAGAGGTGGCAGCGCTGAGTGGAGTCTCCAACGGCCAGTGCTAGGCAGTGCTTCAGTCCAGGATGTCTTTGCAAGCCACTGGTAAGGTCAGGAGGCTGAAGCCTTGAAGACGACCTAGCAAACCCTCATGAGGAGCTCTGGGGCTAAGTAAGAGCCCTGGCTCTGAGGGGAGCTCTCCCCGCCAAATTAGTTCTCCACCAAAAAATTAGAAGTCAATTTTGAGAAGAAAATCCAATTAGATCCAATTAAGTTAGTCAATTAGCAATTTTAAATAGAAAAGTTGAGGAGAGAGCAATTAGCACAGCCAGTTCCGATCGAACTGCATCTAAAAAAGTGGGAGGACACTCCTCAGAGGCGATGACATCAGTTTGGTAGACTCAGTTCTATTGGTTACTGGCTGAGTTAACCCATGCATGACCGCTGTCTCCACCAACTTTGGAGAATGTATTTAATCAATTATGTAGGTCAATGGACATTTTAGTAACCCTCTTCAAATCAGCTGTAAATTATAAATTGCAATGAAATACTCTTGCTTCTAGATCCCCTACCTCTTTCTCCATCTGAAGTCCTTCCGCTCGAATATTTCTTTCAAATACTTCTCTTTTCTCAGCTTGCAGGTTAGATTTTCTGTACACCAAGATATAGTCAATGCGACATTCTCCATCTCTGAAGTATAGTCCACTGGATTTATTTTTTTCTGGAATATCCTGTAAGGACAGTCAGTATAGTTGTCAAATAAAAACCCCAACAAAACCACTAGTGGCTTCAACAGTTTTGATAAGAAAAGGATTCAGAACAAAATATCTGAAAACTACTACAGAACATATATTCATAACATAGCATAATAGCATAGCATAACAAAACAACATAACACTGAAACAAGACATATTAATAATTTTCTATCTCATTACGGAGCCAGGGCACCTCCGCCACCATCCCAGCCTGGCTTTTTCTGCGGCTTCCAACCTGAGTCTTTCGGTAGTGGCCGCTCTGGGCGCACGCTCTATGGTTGTAGGCAGCTGGCCCACAACCATAGAGCCTGCGCCCAGAGTGACCACTGCCAAAACACTTGGGTTGGAAGCCGCAGAAAAAGCCAGGCTGGGATGGTGGCGGAGGTGCCCTGGCTCCGTAATGAGAGCTGGGCCATGCATTGTGAGGCTGGGAGGCGGGTGAGAGAGAACGGAACAGCCGCTCACGCAACCCCCCCCCCCCACTCCAGCCGTGCACAGTGCCATTTACCGGCATTTGGAAGGCACCAAGCTGCAGGAGCCAGGTGGCGGAGAACAGGTGCTCCCATGGCTTGGCGATACCCCTAGGTCAGTGAGTGGCGCTGAGCCTGGCTGCAAAGGGAGTTTGCCAGGTGGCTGCTCGTTGTCGCTCGAGGTCGCTTCATGGCTGTTGTGTTGCGCTGCTGCGACAGCGCAACACAGCCATTCGCCCATGAGCCTGTGCCTGGCTCTTTGGGAGCACGCTCGCAAGAGAGCAGCTGCCCGGCAACCCCAAAACAATAAACCCTCCCCCCATAATAACGCCCAAGCAATATTTTGTAG